TGCAAGCATATGCCATTATGCGATCTGCAAGCATATGCCATTATGCGATCTGCAAGCATATGCCATTATGCGATCTGCAAGCATATGCCATGTGCGATCTGCAAGCATATGCGATCTGCAAGCATATGCCATTATGCGATCTGCAAGCATGTGCAGAGCACATATGCTTGCAGATCGTATATGCTTGCAGATCACATATGATTGCAGATCACATATGATTGCAGATCACATATGATTGCACATCGCATGTGGCATATGCTTGCATATGAAGCATTTGTGCATATGAAACACATGTGCATATGTGCATATGAAGCATATGCGCATATGTGCATATGTGCATATGAAGCATATGAAGCATAGGAAGCATACGAAGCATACGAAGAAATGCTTGCAGATCGAATGTGGCATATGCTTGCAGATCGCATCTGGCATATGCTTGCAGATTGCATATGCTTGCAGATCGCATATGCTTGCAGATCGCATATGCTTGCACATCGAATGTGGCATATGCTTGCAGATCGCATCTGGCATATGCTTGCAGATCGCATATGATTGCACATCACATATGCTTGCAGATCGTATATGATTGCACATCGCATATGCTTGCAGATCACATATGATTGCACATCGCATGTGGCATATGCTTGCATATGAAGCATTCGTGTATATGAAACACATGTGCATATGTGCATATGAAGCATACGTGCAAATGTGCATATGTGCATATGTGCATCTGAAGCATATGTGCATATGTGCATATGTGCATATGAAGCATATGAAGCATATGAAGCTGCACATCGCATGTGGCATATGCTTGCATATGAAGCATTTGCGCGCATGTGCATATGAAGCATGGGTGCATATGTGCATATGTGCATATGAAGCGTGTATTAAGCGGGTACGGCATTACTGTAATGTAACAGAAAACTGCATCTGCTTGCAGATTGCATATGCTTGCAGATCGCAGTTTGCGATCTGCTATCGCTGCACATCGCACATCGCATAATATGCATATGTGCATATCAAGCATATGAAGTATATGCTTGTGCGTGTGCGTGCACGATGCGTGTGCACGTATCGTGAAGTGCGTGTGTTGAAGTTGGAACGTCGAAGTTTGCGATCTGCTATCGCTGCATATCGCATATCGCATAAGATGCATACGTGCATATGAAGCATACATATGAAGCATATGAAGCATATGAAGCATACGAAGAAAAAAAAAGAAAAAAAAAGCGCGCAAAAAAAAGACGCGCGCGCTGGGGATTGAACCGCACATCGAATGTGGCATATGCTTGCAGATCGCATATGCTTGCAGATCGCATACGCTTGCAGATCACATATGATTGCACATCGCATGTGGCACATGCTTGCATATGAAGCATTTGTGCATATGAAGCATATGTGCATATATGTGCATATGTGCATGTGTCGGCATATGCTTGCAAATCGCATATGCTTGCAGATCGCATATGCTTGCAGATCACATATGATTGCACATCGCATGTGGCACATGCTTGCATATGAAGCATTTGTGCATATGAAGCATATGTGCATATGTGCATATGTGCATATGTGCATATGTGCATATGTGCAGATGTGCAGATGAAGCATATGTATATGTGCATATGTGCATATGAAGCATATGAAGCATATGAAGCATACGAAGCATACGAAGCATACGAAGAAAATACGAAGCATACGAAGCATACGAAGAAAAAAAAAGAAAAAAAAGCGCGAAAAAAAAAAGACGCGCGCGCGCTGGGGATTGAACCGGCGACTTGGTGGACAGAGAGACAGACGGAGGGATGGCAAGGTGAATTGCGAGCATCGTCAAAGCTTACAAGCGAAGAACGGCGCTGTATGAAGCGCGTACGGCATTCATTCTGTTGTGAATGGCGAATAACGCGGAAAAAGCAAAAAGAAACAGCAAAAAACTTGAAAACATTCCGGCACAGTGACAAGGGGAATTGCGAGGATCGTCAAAGCTTACAAGCGAATGACGGCGCTGTATGAAGCGCGTACGGCATTAATTCCGACGCGGAATTGAAGCGCATGAAAGAAGCGAAAAGAAAGAGCAAAAAGCTCGAAAGTACTTCGGCACAGTGGCAAGGTGAATTGCGAGCATCGTCAAAGCTTACAAGCGAAGAACGGCGCTGTATGAAGCGCGCACGGCATTCACTCCGCGCACGTCCGAAGCATACGAAGCATACGAAGCATATGTGCGTATGCACGTATGGTGAAGTGCGTGTGTTGAAGTCTGCACGTTGAAGTTTGCCATCTGCTAGCGCTGCATATCGCATATCGCATAAGACGCATATGTGCATATGAAGCATATGAAGCACACGAAGCATACGAAGCATATGAAGCATATGAAGCATATGAAGCATACGAAGAAAAAAAAAGAAAAAAAGCGCGCAA